CGTGCCCGTTATTTGTGCCAAATTTCGGGATATGTTCAGCTCAAGTTTGGTGACACGGGTACGCAAAAAATGTGCTGGCAACATTGATGCTCGTGATGCGGTTGCTTGCTTCATCGCCTCATTCGACGTATCACTTTGCTCACTCCCGAAAACGTTATCTGCTCGTTTCTGCAAAAAAAAAGTACAAAAAATACAATAATTTATAAAAAAAAAACTTCAAAATTGCTGATAATGCCGAAAATGGCTACTAACCCATAATTAAATTCAAAATTTCGTTCACAACTTTGAATTTAATTTTAAAATAGTGCCTGTTCCAAAAAGAAATCATAACCACTTTTATTAATTTAGAGCAAAATTTTCTATCTGTGCGCTTTTCTACTTTCATCGTCCTCCACTAAAACAGTCACGGCTAAGATAGGTGCCGCGTACGGACGCTTTAAAAAAATATGCAAATTTTTTGGCGGGAAAGCGATCTCGGGAACCACCCGAGCTAAGGGGGCTGAAACCTTGTAGGGATATTCCCAGTGCATGTACTAAATTACGATCACAGATGCAGTCTAGTCAAAAACAGTTGGAAAAATTGCTAGCTGCACAGACGGAGAACGAGGCCATGAATTTGCAGCTGTTATAGGCGTATTTTTGTATCTCTAGCACTTGTTTTATTACGTTCGTAAACGTAGAGTCACTCTCAGAATCAGGAAATGCGTGGCCCAATCTTCCCAGATATTAAACAAAGACTATTAATTACAGGTACCTGTAAATACCGGATAATTGATGACATTGAAGAAACGAAAAAATCGTAATTGTTGGTGATGAGAAGTTTATCCATACAAATGAGAACCAGTGAAAATAAACGTAGAAATCCTCGAGCTTTGCGATCGCGTAGTCTGGAAGCAATTAATCAGAAAGACAATTAGGATGCTTTTTAAGATTCATCTTCTCCACCAAAACTGTTTTCGAAACGCGCCAAAAAAATAGAAGAATAGAGAGATTAAAGCTGAAAGTCACCTGTAAGGAAACATTTTATGATGCAGTCTCTGTGTTTCATCCCTAAGCTGTAAACAGACCGAACTATGCATGCGGGTAGGAGCGGGAATCATCAGTACAGCCTCCTCTTACCCACCATTTTTTGAATAGTCATGTGACTAATTTGCAAGACGGATAAGCGAAAGAAATAGATATCAGTGAAAGAGCAAATAGAGTGTAAACTGGTTTGGGCGTCGCAAAGAGCAGAAATGACGAAAAATAAACCCCACAAGTGAACTAATAGTAGATGAGGGCAATAATTCAATTTTCCAAAAATTAATTTTGATACTCAGCAGACTTCATTTTGGTCTAGAACTGGCACCGTTCAAGATCAGATAGCGATGCTAGAAAAAAAATATATATATACATATATATATATATATACATATATATATACATATATGTATATATATATATATGTATATATATATATATATACA